ATAACCATTAATATAAATAGTAGCATTTAAATCTTTAGTATTGATTAAGTTAACTTCTGGGTTATTATTAATATATCTATTGATTTCCTTGTTACATTGTTTTAACATATCTATTTCTATTAAATTGTATTTTTTATTATCTTCTGTAAAGCTATAATATGTTTAGAAGTAATATCAGATAAAGTTTCACCACATCTAAAAGATGTGTCGATGCTTTGCTCAGCCTTTGTCATGAGTTTATCGTCAATATAATATTCATTTTCACTTTCGTCATTTGGAGAATAATATATATCAAATGCTTTTTTTGGTGTTGAAGCTTTGCTCCCACTTCGTGTCGTATCTCTTTCTTTAATAATTTCAGAAGTATCTATTTGTTTTAATGGGTCCGTCTTGTAATTTGATTTGTTTTGTCTGAAGATAACAAATTTTTGAAAAATGTTTTTAATGACTTTGATTTTGATTGAGAAGTATTATCTGTACTCATTTATATTAAGATATAAATAAAAATATATTATTTATACGTTACTAAATATATTATTAATAAAGTAATATAACAGGATTATTATAATAACTATAAAAATAACATACTCAATAGATGTCTTCAGATAAGATGTAAAATATATTACTTTGTTTTTACAGTTTATGAAATATCTATTAAATTACCTGAACTGTAATTTCATTTACATAAAATATTCTACCATCTTTTCCTTTACAATAACCATGATTCATAAAGTTTTGAAATTTTTTATAATTATCTTTATTATTTAAACACAACGATATTTCATAACCTTTTTGAATAACATTAGGACTAACATAATATTTTACAATTATATCTTTTATATTATTATTTCTAATAAACTCTTTAAGTATTCTTTAAATTTATTAATTCTTGTTTTAACTTTGGAAGAATCACATTCTAAGTTAGCTACAACTTTATATCTTTTTCATTATAATAAACATAATCATCTATATATTCACTTGATTCATCATCAGAATAATCACGATTTTCTATAATATCTTCATCATGCTTCGGCATGAGTTTCTCGTCCCTAGATTCACTTACATGTTCACTTTCAAGTTCAATAATATTTTCAGAATCATCTATAAATTCATCGATATCTTCATTTGTATTTAAATTATATAATAATTTTACGGACCTACGGTCCTCAGGTTCGAAGAACCGTAAAGGACAAAGCTCGATATACTTTCTAAACGCTTCATTCATATACTGTTCCGTCATTTTAATAAAGATAAAAAATTACATTAATATAAATTTACTATAAAATTATATTAATATAAATTTACTATATATAAATTTACACCGAACGGATACTGGAGCTTTGTTCCCGCTTCGCGTTGTGTCTCCGAAGAATCGAAACGAATGTGAGATTCTAGAGACATCAAAGATGTCGATATTTTGGAAAAATTCATATTCGCGTCCCTCGCGATTTAAATAAAGTATTATAAAATATAGATAAAATGAGCTCCCCCCTAAATCCACAGAATTTATATACTACTACCCATAAATAATTTCTATGTAAAAAAAATAAAACTTAATTTGTTGTTTTTATTATTTTATAATTTATCGATTTAACTAAATAATTCTAACTGTTTTTGTGTAATAACTACACATATGAATAATATTATAACGAAAAAAAAATACAGATGCAAGAAAAAGGTCGTTGTTAAGAATATTTAAAAAGTATTTTTATATATACAATATGGGTACTAACCTGTCTCCGGGAACTTATTTGTAACCACTTTCCTTGTAGAAACAAATTTCCTTATAAAGTGGGAATATTTTCCTTAAAAATATTTTCAGTTTCCATTTTTTTAATTAGTTCTGTCTTTGACTTAATTATTTTATTTATGTCAAAAACAAAAATAAACACTGACGACAAAACTTAAAAAAAACAATGACTGTTTTTATTTCTTTGGTGCCATTCACTGTTGTTTCGAATTATTTGGGTTTGCTTTTCGATATTGCTGATGTTTAAAACATATTATACTTACACGTAGTGATTCCTAAACAACAACTAATGATAATAAAGATGTTAATACCTTTGCAATGAATGACTTACCATGGATTGTATAATACTATTATTTTGGTTAAATGGTGGCTGAGGAGTTAGCTGACTAGCACACCAATAATTAATATTTTCACTGTTGTATGACTGAGAATTTACAACTTGTGCCAAACTCGGTTCCAAATTATTATTTGTAATATTGTGAGGCAGTGTGAAATTGATTATTGGTACAGCATTCGTAGTGAATGACATTTCTGGGTAATTGGACGTTGTTTGTTCAAATGATAATTGTGTGATTCGTTGATCTGGTTCTTCATTATCCATTATATTACAATTATCCAATTGACATTCTGATGACACATTACTTATATTTGTTATACCGTGTTCCATAAACCATTCTTTTGAATTTTTAATTATA